GTATGATTGCTGATCAATCACCGCCTATTAATATAGGAACGAAAGCAGGTGCTGGAGTCAATTTAACATGTAGTGCTAATTGTTCAACATCAGGTGGCTATGTTGGTAATGAAGTACCTATTACTGGCTATTGTACTGATTTTTCTACTGCACTTGACTTAACAGTGAGTCAGCGATCCGATATAGTCAATCTTACCAGTGGAGCTTATTTCGTTGCAACTTTTGCTACTAGTGGAGGATGGCAAACATTAGCATTAGGAAATTCAGCTGGTTGGAGTCTTTCATCTTTAATTGACATACGTCTAAGATCGGACAATGGACTAATTAATACACCACCTGTAGCTACATGTATTTCATATCTAAGTATACCTGTTAATGTTCAACAAACAATTCAAATCCCAGTTCTTGATGCAGATAATGATTATCTTCGATGTCGATTTGCAAATGGAACATCAGAATGTGCCTATGCTTGTCCGCCAGGATCATTGCCAACGGGTACAACTTTATCTACGTCTTGCGCTCTCACGATCACTGGAATTACTGCCGGCGATTATTATCTTGTTACCGTACAGGTGAATTATTATTTTGCATAGCTCTCTCTCTTCCTCTCTATTGTTTCATTTAATTTCATATCTTGTTACAGGTCGAAGATTTTATAACGAATACCAGTGCGACTCCGTTGAGTTCTGTTTCACTTCAATTTTTGATTTATGTTTATGCAACGACAACGTGTACACTTAAACCTCTTTTATTAGCTGATATCAATAGTGGTGTTTGTCAAGGTGTACAAGTCGGTGTCAATTTTACAATGACATTTACAGCTGTAAATCGTTGTGGTAGTGAACGAACAATCATTGACATCGCTACTTTATCTTTTCCTATTATTATCAAGAGTACACTTGTTCAGAATACTGCCAATGCATCATTATGGTCAATGAATATGTCATGGATTCCCACGGCTAGTCAAGTTGGTTCACAAGTCTTTTGTGCTATTGCAAGTGATAAGTAAGTTATTTGTGTATCTATGGTTACTTAATAATTAATCGAATTATATTTGTCTTTGATATTTTGAGTGCAAGTGTTCAATCAGATCAGTACTGTATAACATTTTTTGTTGGTCTCACAAGTATTCCATTATGTCCAGGAGTGACTACTGCGTAAGATTCTTTATCTAATTAATGATAAAAATGACTTGATATGTTTTATTTTTCTTTTATAGATCAACAACAACAACAACGATAACAACGACGCAAACATCAACCACTTTAATGTCAGTCAATGTTCATGAATGCAATATTCTCACATTTTTCTTTCATAAATTCTTTTTGCGATAGTAATATATCTTGACAGTAGAAACTATCATTTCATTGACTTAAAAGATTGACAGAGAAATTAATGCGATCATATCACAGATAACTCATCGAACAACGATACATATAATTATTCGTTGTTCTAGGGATGAGACATCACAGCAGAACTTACAAAATTCAACAGAAGCTATTACAACGATGAATATCACATCATCAGCGAATGTAGAAACAAGGTTAGACACTTTCGTTATAATGGAAAGTTTAATTTATTTTTATTTTCATTTAAACTGATTTAAATTAGTATGCTAATTAATTCATCTGTATCATCATCAACTGGTAGGATTGTTGAGACGATTTAACTAACTATTTTTATTTTTTTGTATTTCATTCAGTTAAACCGAACAATACAATTAATTTACCATTAATTATTGGCCTATCATTGCTAGGATTAGCTTTGGCTGTATGTTGTTCGATTTGTTGTTGGTGGTTTTTATTGTAAGAGAAATATTCTATTCTAAATATATATTATCTGTTGTTCGTTTCATTAGTGGTTGTAAACGTCGTCGACAACGTCGAAAAACAAGCGATGACTTGGAATACTGCTTTGTACGGAGTCCAACAAATGGAAATTCTCATCGACAACTTTTCAGCGGAAAAAATCAACATGAAAAAAATGAACTAAGACAAGGTAGCAGTGTCACAGTCGTCAATTATCCACCAATATCAAGCGATGTTACTGTTACTAGAATTAATCAAAGAGATAATACACCTATTGACAATAAAGACAATGTAAGAAGCAAGCAATTATCTGGAAAATCTATCGATTCTCTACATTACTCAAATTCATCTGCATATGCACAAGGAATCGATCGACAAGATAATATAACAAAGACATCAAATAATAATTTTGTGCATATTCGATCTGCTTTACAAGATTCTTCTGATTTAATAACTTTTTCGTCTTCTTCTGCACCAACATCAGCAAAAAAGAATCATTTTACTTTTATGAAACTTCCTCGACTTACTAAATCATCGATCGAACCGCATTCATCAACATCAATTATTGACAATAGAACACAATCGAACGAAATCCAACGCAGTGATTTTAATAATTCAAAAGAAAACAAAAGAACTCGACAAGCTCTATCGAGTGTTTCTGTTCGTCGAATAAAACGATCGTCATCAGCTGGTCCAAGTCCAAGCACTCATATAATTCCACGTGGTATCATAGTTTCATCGCATGCAAATCTAAATCGAATTACAGTCACTAACTTCAAATAATGATTTTAATTACTTTAATACCAAATTTGAGGACTTTCAACTTTAGAATTTGGATTGATATGTGTTTTTGTTCTACACTCACCTATATCTCTAATGAACAAAATCGGCCAAAGTTGTAAATGTTTTGACCGTAGCTATAATCGTGAAGTTTATTTCGAACCAATTTTGTTATAATTACTAATTAAAACTTTTTCCATAAATAAAGCACGCTTACATGAAATATCAACATGTCATCATTTGACTTGTCGCATCTAGATGATATAACAAGCAATTTTTAGATAATTACCATCCCGAAGAATAAGAAACAGAATTCGAGTCAACTGCTTCCATTTTAAAGATTATTATGGGTCATACGATCAAAAATACATTGTCTTACGCATATATTCATGCTCGATGTATAAGAAAAAGAAAAGTTAGCTAACAGATAGATACATAAAAAATATTTACTTAGTGTATGAATATTTTAAAACTATTCTTCTAATTCTTTTTTGTTATTATTACATTCTTATGTAAGTTTCGTTATGGGTATGAATTGACAAGTTTTTCACGTGAATTTTGTCCATGATATTGTTCACAATTTGAGAAGTGTACGCCACCTTTCCTTTTCCTATTCTTATTGACTGAAACAGGTAAACCAATAAGTTTTCTTTTCCTTTACTCTAATCTGTACGACAAATCAAGTGAAGGTGAATTTGATCTGAAGAATTATCGAATTATCTTTGAAAACATAATCTTAAACATATATTAGAAACAAAAAGAAAGGTAAGGATCTATCAAGTCGTTCGATTATAAACAAAAGTATAGAAAAATGAAAAGAAATACAAAAAAAAAACCTCTATTGTATCAGACAAATACAATAAAACATGTAGACGAAATGTAGAGAGCACAAGTTATAATTAAGATTTATTTATAAGGAATTTTCTTCAAACTCTTTTTATATAAACAAGGTTATGGAGCAGCAAACAAACAACAACAACAACTCGAAGTCAATCGTATGATTTTCATTGTTGCTATGCAAGATAATGTTATGCAGATGAAAGACAATAGAAGAATATTCATAATGTAACGATCATTGATCGTTATGCTTCTCTTCATGTATGTTCTCTTTTCCGTGTCTATGTGACCTATTCACCAAGTATCACAGAAGAATAGACAACTGTGATGAGGTTATGTAGTTTGAATAAACATCCTGTCGAATAGGGCAATCATTGGCACTGTTCATTTGTCGTTATATATATATTATATTAAGTAATTTTGATAGAATTACAATGTTTACATACGTAAATTATTTGAAGAAGTTACTCTATTCTGAATGATGAAAGTGTAATATATAAGTATTTTGCCTCCATTTATTTTAAGAATCGTAGTTGATTTTCAACTCTCATTGAGTTACTGCCTATTAGATCACTGTATTATTCCCGAAGTCTCCCTTCTATTTGATCAATAAAAAGATACTCGAAACAAGGAGTACTGCTTTTATCTTCATTATTACAAAAAGACGAAGTCTCGAATATCTATATACAAAAATCCCCCCCGCCACAGAGCATCACACACACATTTTAGCAACGCGCCGCAGCGGAGCGTGATGGACAGCGTAACATAGTTCCCCTGCCTCCGAAATCTCAGACACTTTGGAACATTTTCTCATTTACACAGAGATTAAGGCAACAGTTTTTTTCTTAAATCTTGTATCAGATCAAATTAATGAATGTCTTTCTCCACACAGGATTATATTTCTTGGTTGATTCACTCAACAGATTTTGCGAAGCAACCAATCAATCTACTTTGCTTGCAGTGAGTCTTCTCAGATTCATCTCAACGATCGTGCATAAATCTTTGCTCTACTCCTTGGTGTCCTGTACAATTTATTAATGGATGGCATCAATCCAATTGACGGTTGAAAAAATGCTCAAGATCTGTTAGAGATATGAAAACAAGGACGACCGTAAGAGTGAAAAACTGAATTCAAGGGCATTCTCTTCTGAACTATAACTCTGTTCAAGCTCTCTTGAGTGTGTGGATGTGGCTGTGGGTTTACTTCTTCCTTTGATAAAAACCCACACCCACCCATCCACCCACACCCAAATTTAACACCTTCGACCCGATTCAGTTTTCGTAAAATTTTTTTCAGATTGTTCATTTTCGTGACCAATTATCTTCTAATAAATGCACTTAATGACCTTTTGGCTATATTCTACTGGTTATTTGTCATTCTCTTGCTTATACCAGTACACAGTGAGTCATTTTTTACTGACCAAATGAATAATCGCTCAAGTCAGTTTTTCGTTCTTTTGTATTTTATATGAATCATGTCTGAGGAAAAGAAGGAAATTTCTAGTATTTTCTCCCCTATTCTTTTCTCTATATCGTTTTGCATATAAATGCAACCGAATTTTTGGAGCATTTCACATGTCTCTTGAAGAAATCGATACTGAAGATAGTGCTAGCTCATTCAGTGAAGTGAGTTCACTGGATGATGAATTTGATACAATGCACCTTGATTTTGACAGATCTGAAGAAGTTACTGATTATGACGATGATGATGATGATGATGATATGGATTTACATACTTGGAATGAAATAGAACCAGAATCTGATGCAGAATTCTTGGAAGATCATGGACTTATTGAAGATGTAACTTCTATTTCAGAAGATAACACAATCAATCCTATCGACTGCTATCGGCATTTCATTACGGGCGAAATTATTGACCTTATAGTTCGTGAAACTAATCGATACGCGCAGCAATACTTGCAAAACCATGACATCAGTAGAAGATCAATATTTAAACAATGGAAACCAACCAATAATACAGAGATGCTCAAGTTCTTTGGAATACTCATTGAAATGGGATTAGTACAAATGCCGAAGCTGAAGTATTATTGGAGCTCTAGTCAATTATATGGTTCACAGATTATTCGAAATACTATGTCAAGAGAGAGATTTGAATTACTCCTCAAATCTTGGCATTTTTCGAATAACAATAACAAGAATTCGAACCAAGATAGACTGTTCAAGTTGAAGCCACTCTTAGATTTACTAAAAGAGAGATTTTCATTAGTATATATGCCTGATTCAATTATTAGTATTGACGAAAGTATGATACCATGGCGAGGCAGACTTTTATTCAAACAATACATACCTGGAAAAGCGCACAAGTACGGCGTAAAGATGTATAAATTAGCGACGACCAATGGATATGTTTGTAGTTTTGTAATTTATACTGGTGAGCAAGATTTGACGGCAGGTATTGGGCATGCTCAAATAATAGTAATGAAACTATTAGATGGTCTTGATGGATGTTATCGAACCGTAATAGCTGACAATTTCTTTGCAGTAATCGTGTTGGATCAGGAAGTAAAGTTCTTCAAGAAAATGTTAGTCGTGGAGAAGCTTATGGACTTCAGAATAAAGATGGAATTAAATTAATCAGGTGGAAAGACAAAAATGATGTCTTGATGGTATCTACAAGACCTCACATTCAGCAAGTGTAGTAGACAGTGGAAAAACAAATTTTCAAAATGAACGGATCATGAAGCCCCAAGTTGAATTAGATTACAATGAAGGCAGACAAGGTACTGATTTATCTGGTCAACTATCAACATATTACACATGTCTCAGAAAATCAATAAAATGGTACCGCAAAGTGGCATTTGAATTGGTTTTCGGGACGGCACTGGTAAACAGCTATTTGATATATAAGGAAAACTACACCGAAAACAAAGTGACCATTCTGCAGTTTCGTGAAAGTCTTGTCCGGTCTTTACTGCTTGGTACGCCAACCGAGAAGCTAAAACCTGGTCCAAGACAACAATCAGCAAGTCATTCGAAGCGCAAACTCGCTGATCACAAGCTCGAAGAAAGAGAAGCATCTACGCGCAATGTCGGCAGACGATGCACTGGCTGCTATGCGAAGGAACGAGCCCAACAGTCAAGAGAAGCCAGCCGTGCGGCAGCAAAGAAAGTAAAAACTTTCTGTTCTGACTGTAATAAATTTTTTTGTCTTGAGTGTTTTAATGATAAGCATGATGCTATGGAGTAAAGAACTCAAATAAAGTACTAAAGGCAGCACAGTTGACTCCTTATATTTAGCCTCCTACTTAAGAAGAAAGCAAAAGAAAATGCTTTTCTATATAGTTTCTCGTTAAACTATAGCGTAGCCCATCGGTGGGCTACATCGGGTCGAATGTGTTAAATAAAATATATTTCAATCATATTTTTTATTAGTATTAGTTTTTGTATTTTCTGTACTCATTTAGTGATATAT